TCCAATTTTCAGTTGGAAGATTAAAACGGACAGTGGTGCAATTCTGTGGTCTGGCCCACCCAGTTAAGATACATGGAACGGAAATCACAGAGATTTAAACATTTAAATCCAAGATATGGCCAATGTGCTTGATACAAGTAAAACTTGTATGTGCTGCAAAGATGCGACCAAACTTTAGTTAAAATAGATATAAAAAAAGAAAGAGATAGAGAGAAACAAAAGGGAGAGGCTTCCTTCATTCATCCCACTTATATCTTTTACATTTACTAATCTACCACCTATATTCATCAATTCTTAATCTAACTAATTCTCAGCAACAATGCAACTTATTCTATTATTCTGTTTGTAGATTTCAAATGCATTATCCAGCAATAAGATGGATGGCAGAGAGATTTTTATTGTCAAGCCCAGCTGATTACAGAATAAGAGAAAAAGCAATTTTCCGAATCTGCTCATGGCAACCTTTTGTTATCATAAACCAAAAAGAAAAGAATGTTGCCCATTAACCAAGATATAGAAATAATATGTGGCAGAGAGCGCAATGTCAAGAGTGAGAGCAGGATAGTCAATTTCGCAAAGATGCACCCAGAAGAGCAATATTAAGACTAGATGAGAACCTGGTGGATGTCAACAAATTTCTTGGTGGTACAATCAAAGGTGGCAAAATTTTCTTTCCACGGAGCCACGAGACCTCGGGATTCCCATTCATGAACCAGAGCCAAAACGTCAGGATTGGCGACAGTGAAAAATGGAGCACCATGATCAAACAGCAGTTCATTTCCATCTCCAGTATTTTCCCTATTAGCGTTTCCAAATACAGGAGAAAAAAAAAAAATTACCAATTCCAAATTTACAAAAAAAAGGAACAAACCCTCTTTCCTAGAAAAATGAAGAGAAAACTAATCATGTTGATCATGACGAACTTATCACAATAACCTAGTTCAACGAGAATCGAGATATATCAAAATATAAGTATATATTATTATCACGGGAAAACAAAATGAGGCAACTAAAAAGATAATAATAAATGAAAACAGGTAAAAGAAATGAAATAGAACCTTCTCTGCGACATACGACCACCCGGTCCTCTACCAAGCTCGAAGACGGAGACAGACACACCATTCTTTGCAAGCGCTGAGGCACAAACTGCTCCTGAAACTGTATCGTTCGACACGACTGTTAAGATTCAAATTTCAGTTCATCAGTGAAAAAGGAAAGAAGAGAAGACATTATTATGAACTGCTCACTTCCACTTCCAATCACCGCAACCTTATTAGCGACGCTGTTCATTTTGCCCTTACACAACCACCGTGATCTGCTCTCAATTCCCAATATATTACACAGGCAAGCTGCAGCTTGATGATTAGCTATAGCTATACATTGTGTGTGTACATGTATATGTATATAGCTTCTTCAAGATTGATATGTATATATATGATCAATATATATATATATATATACACAGTTTAGGTGTTAGTTAAGTTAAATTCAGATTTAATTTCCATTAACGTATGGTTATAAACGTGCCACGTATCAAATTTAACTCCCTCAACGCAGTAGGTATTATTCATTGTGAGTCAAATTAAAGTCAAAATTCGCAGAAACGACTGGGCTTGGCTTTCTCCTCCCTTTCCAGTTTCTGCCATGGCTTCTTTTCACTATAAGTAAAATCAAATCCACAAAATTTAAAACAGAAATTAAAAAACAAATAAAGAAAAATTTTAAAAATCAATGCATTTATTTCATATTTTCAGCCCATTCCGATACATTTTATTATTTTATAGTATAATTTACTATAAAAATATATTTTATTATCAAAATAATAGATTTAATTAAGAACACTACTAATTAATACAAATAATTGGAAGTGGTATTAATTCCAAAAACCAAGGGGACATCCGATAAAGCAAAAATCTTATTGGGAACCATACTCGTTTACAGTTAGCCCAGAATATTTAATTCTAAATGGTCTCTCCTGTTCTTAGTTATTTCATCTATCTATCTCTGGAAATAACAACATTTCTTATGGATATCGTATTTTAAATAATAAAATTAACTTGATTTTAAAACTGATTTCGTATTCTAAATTTAATTATTTAACTTATCTTAGGAAAACATACTGTCACGTACCCAGTTTTTGTCGTTTGCTAGACTGCTCCAGCTGGTTCGCCTTGTCTCCTCGCACCATACTCTCTTTCTGCAGAAAATAGCTCAAAAAGATCATAGCCATGTCAACAAATCAGAGTCGTCCAGTCGATTCGACAAGTGGGTTCGACCCGCAAACTGGAATCTATCATAGCCTGAGACCCAGCACTACTGTCCCGCGGCCTGATAAGCCTCTCTCCATCATCCAACTCTGTCTCTCTCTCTTCCGCTCTTCCTCTACTTCTACCTCCACCATCTTCCTCCTCCAAGCTTCCACCGGCGATGGCCTCTCCTACACTGAGTTCTTTTACCGGACCAACTCCTTGGCACGTTTTCTACTCACACGCTACTCTTTCTCCAAAAACGATGTCGTTTTTGTACTTTCACCAACCTCCTTTCACATCCCCGTCCTCTACTTCTCTCTGTTATCTCTTGGCGTCGTCGTCTCCCCTGCCAACCCTCTTGGCTCCATTTCCGAGATCTCTCACCAGGTCCGTTTAACCAGACCCGTCCTCGCTTTTGCCACCTCGGAGACCGCGCACAAACTCCCTTCCCTCCCGCGGGGAACCGTCCTCCTCGACTCGCCGGAATTCTTATCCTGGCTGACTCAGCCCGTAGGAAATGGCGGAAACATCTTCGACTTCGTTGATCGGGTCGGAGTTCGTCAGTCCGATCCGGCGGCAATCCTTTATTCCTCGGGAACAACCGGAAGAGTCAAGGGCGTGTTGCTGACACACCGTAATCTGACCGCCGTAATCGATCGGAATCGGGATCCAATACCCGATCTGCAACACATAGTGTCTCTTTTCTCGCTGCCTCTATTTCATGTATTTGGATTCTTCATGTTGATAAATTCGGCGGCGGTGGGAGAGACGGTGGTGTTGATGGAACGGTTCAATTTCGAGACGATGTTGAGGTCGGTGGAGAGGCATGGAATCAATTTTATGCCGGTATCTCCGCCGCTGATCGTAGCACTGGTGAAGTCAGAGTTGACCGAAAAATACAATTTGAGGTCGCTTAGGAGGCTGGGCTGCGGCGGTGCACCACTGGGAAAGGAGGTTGTGGAGATCTTCAAGAAGAAATTCCCTAATACAGAGATTGTGCTGGTATGGAAAATTCACCCCCTTTTTCCTTTAATTACCATCTGTTCTGTGTGCTTCTCTTCTAAAAGTTGCTTCAAACATGGTGTTCGGAAGGTTTTCAGGGTTATTTTTCTTACAAAAACAAATTAGAAATTTTGGACTTTACAGTTCTAGATTAAATAAAGTAGTAATGAAGAATTTTTTTGCAATTTTGTAGGAAAATAATTTATTTTCAAGTTTGTTTGAAGACAACAGTCTGAATATATAGAATTTCCTTCTAATTAGGGTAACGTTATAATTATATATATATATTATAAAATTAACTTTTATCATTCTAAAGATATTTTTTATTAATTTTTTAATTAAAATAAGCATAAATTTATAAATAAATTTAATAATAAATTATTAAATTAGTTCATAAAATTTAATATTTATTACAATTTAGTTTATAAATTTTTTATTATTAATTTGATCTTTAATATTTTTAAATTTTTAATTTCCTTCCATTTTTTAACAGAAAAAAAGAAAATAATTAAGTTACATTAGAAAGTTTTTTAAAAAAAATAATTTTTACTAATTAATTAAATTGAAAAATTAATAATAATTAAAAATATGTTTAATCTTTTTTCGTTAAAAAATAAAAAAAAAATTGTACGTTTAAAAAAAATAGAATATATTATTGATCAAATTGTTAAAAAAAATCAAAAAATTAACTTATAATAAGTATTAAATTTAAAATACTGAATTTTAAAAAATAAAAAAAACTGAATTTATATAAAATTCTAACCATAACTAAAATAACAAAAGCATATTTGGATTTATTGTACATAAAAAACTATCAAATTTAAGTATAAAAATTCATAAAGTTGTTAGTGCATAATTATAGAGTGATACATATAGTTAAGTGTGATTGTTGGGTTTTAATAAAATATGTGGGTTTTATATTTGGATTTATTGTACATAAAAGACTATCAAATTTAGTTAGTCCCGTTTAAATGATCTGATACGGTTAAAAGTATTTTAAGTTTTAATGTATGAAATTAAAGTGTGTGTTTTATTTTTATGTATAGAAATTAAAAATATAATTTTTAATTTTGTAATCTGTAAAATTGAAAAGAACAAATATTTAAAGATATAAATAGACGATTATGGTTACTAAATCATACAGTTCTAGATCAAATAAAGAAATAATGAAGAACTTATTGCAATTTTGTAAGAAGAGAAAGGTTTGAATATATATATGATTCTGGTTCTAATTAGATAGAGTTTATTTGTAAGTTTATAAGAAGACAACAATTTGAGTGAATATAGAATTTTACTTAACGTTATCTATATTATGGGAATTGTATAATTCTATTAAATTTTGTATAAAATTAATCTTTATCATTCTAAAGATTTTTCTTATTAATTTTTTAATAAAAATAAACATAAATTTATAAATAAATTTTATGACAAATTAGTTCATGAAATTTAACATTTATTATAAGTTAATTTATAAACTTTTTTGTTATTAATATATTTTTTTAATTTGTTTCAAACTTTTAATATGATATACTTATTTTGTCTTTTTCTATTAAAAAATAAAATAAACCTGTACGTTTTTTTTTTTAAAAAAGAATACATCATTGCCCAAATTATGACAGAAAAAAGTATTTAAAAATCAACTTATAATAAGTACGAAATTTAAAATACTGAATTTTAAAATAATAAAAAATGAATTTATATAAAAATCTAACCATAACTAAAATAACATCTTCCAACTTACTTCAATTAAAATTTCATACAAATTAATTTTTTAGAACTTATAACTAATCCAAGTATGAATTTCATGAAACCTCTAAAATGAATTTCAAGAAGAAATGTGATTTTGTTGTTGATGGTAGGGATATGGTTTGACTGAATGCGCTGGCGAGGCCGCCGAGACGCAGGGGCCTGACGAGGCAACAAGGCACGCTTCAGTGGGTCGCATAGCTGAAAACACACAAGCTAAAATTGTTGATCCTGTAACCGGAAAGGCTATGACTCCTGACACAGAGGAGAGCTTTGGCTGCGAGTCCCTCAATCATGAGGTATATGC